CAGTGTCCCAGGGAGGGTGTCACTGTGGACAGTGGATGTGTAGATGGTCAGTGTCCCTGGGCGGGGTGTCAGCATAGGCGGTGTCCCGGGGTGTTACATGGGGGACGATGGGAGTACAAATACGCTGTGCCCTGAGGTCTGTGGCCACGACCTGCCCGCCAAGGGGCCTGCGCCTGTTCCTTGACTCGCGTGCAGACCTGTCCTGCATTGTACTGTTTGGGGCCTGCATTGAAGGCGTGGTCCTGCGAGATAAGTATGTCCTTCCTGCTCTGGCTCTGACAGTCCTCAGGGAGGGTGCCCTGGTTTAAACCCCAGCATCCGTTGCTGTGCCTTTGGTGGTGCATGGTGACACTCCTGGACGTGGGGCCCGTTATGACCCTCCTGTAGGCACTCAGAGGGCAGGATGGGGAGGCGCAGGCCAGCAGGGTTGGGTGTCCCTGCTCTCCTCTCTTCTGGTCCCCTGGCTGGTCTGCTCTGTGCCCTCTTTGGGCAGGTAATGGAGGAGGAAGCACCCTCCCTCAGTGGAGAGCGTCTGGACACGGCACTGAGCTGACTACTTTGTGGACCTGCGGGGCTGCAGCCCAAGGCTTAGTGGGTGATCTCAGGTGTGAACTAGGGGTACAGAGAGTTCAGGGACATTCTAGAGAATTACAGAGAGGCTTGTCCCACCACTTCTCTTCTCTAAGGAGTCACAGGTACAGGTGTGGTGGGGCTGGAGGTGCCACACCATGGAGCAGGTGCTGCTCAGCCTTTGTGAGTGTGTGTGCACGTGCTGACGTTTGTGGTGGCATCCTCGTGTGTGTGTGCACACACATAGCATGCTGATGGGTGTGGTGGCATCCTCGTGTGTGTGTGTTTGTACATGCATGCTGATGGGTGTACAGTGACTTATCCCGTGTGTGTGTTTGTGCTGATGGGTATGGGATGACTGTGCACTTGTGTGCTGGTGTGTGTGCAGTGACTGTCTTTATGGATATGCTAGTGTTCATGGAATAACTGCACGCACATGCTGGTGGGTGTGGGCTGACTGTACACATTTGCTGGTGGGGTGACAGTGTTCACACACATGCTGGTGGGTGTGGGCTGACTGTGCATGCGTGCTGTTTTATGTGGGGTGACTGCGTGTGTACATGTGTGCTGGTGGGTGTGGGGTAACTGCACACGTGTTGGTGGGTATGGGTTGAATTTTTCTGTGTATATGTGTGTGTGACAAGTATTGAAAAATATCATATACAAGCAAGATTCTACTGAAAATTATCCAAAAGTGACAAACAGCACATCAACAGAGAACTGCCAGATGTGCAGGCTGGGTTTAGAAGAGGCCGTGGTGCTGGGGATATTGTAGCTGGTGTTAGGTGGATCTCCTCTGTTTGTGCTACACTGTAGTTATAATGGAATACCTCCCAGGGGAGAGTGATGTATCTGAGGAGGATCTGAGGCGCTTGCTACAGATCAAGGACTGCAGCCTTCAATATGGATTGAAGCTCAACGTCAAGAAAACAAAGATTGTCACCAATGGGCCAATTGGCAGAATCATGATGGATGGTGAAGAGACTGTCAGCAGCTTCAGTTTGCTTGGTTCCACAATCAACACTGTTGGCACCACAGCCAGGAAATGAAAAGACAAATTGTATTGAGAAAGTCTGCTGTCAGAGACCTCTCCAAAGTACTGAAAAGCAGTGATGTCAGTCTAGAGACTAAGGTGTACCCGATCTAGGCCATGGTCTTTGCAATTGCTGGCTATGCATCAGAGAGTTGGACATTGACTAGGGATGATAAAAGGAGAATTGATGCCTTTGAGCTGTGGTGCTGGAGAGGAGTATTGAATATACCATGGACTGCTAGGAGAATAAACAGGTTTGTCCTGGAGAGGGTGAAGCCTGGCTGATCCTTGGAGGCAAGGATTCGAAGCTCCGTCTGACATACTTTGGACATGTTGCAAGGCAGAATCAGTCCTTGGAGAGGGACATCATTGTGTGGAGGGTGGAGGGACAGCACACGAGAGGATTGAGATGGATTGATTCAGTGACTGGGGTAATGAGGGCAGGTGTGTCAGAGACAGTGGACTTGGTGTGATGTATACTGTTTATGTACATGTACTGGTGGGTGTGGGGTGACTGTGTACATGTGTGTTAGTTTATGTGGGGTCACTGTGTACACTTGTGCTGGTGGATGTGAGGTGACTTATCTGTGTATTTGTGTGTGCATGCTGGTGGGTGTGGGGTGATGTATTCTGTTAGTGTGTGCACACATGTGTGCCAGTGGGTGTGGGGTGACAGCCTCTGTGTTTGTGTGTGCTCACTCATGCTGGTGAATGTGGGGTGATGTATTCTGGGGGGGTGTGTGCACATGCATGCTGATGTGTGTAGAGACAGGCTGAGGGAGTGGCCTGGTGGGAGGGTGACTTCCTTGTACGTGTATGTGTGTATCTGCACACACGTGCTGGTGGGTGTGGAGGGGAGCTGGGG